GTGTGTGTGTGTGTGTGTGTGTGTACGGGGTGTCGTAAAAAAATTTAAACTATGATGTCTTCTCTAATGATTTTTTAGATTATTTAATCTTGGTGAAAATTTCACTAGAGACTTTATTATAATTTTTCTCCACCTTTACTAAACGTCGTAATATTGAGTCGTCAAAAAAAAAATTCTACTACTCTGCTGAAACTTCTAAAGTTCCTCCTAAAGCTTTCAAAGTTAAACAGTTCGAACTTGATCTTTTCAAACAGAAAATTCATTTCGATATCTTGCTACTATCACTCCAAGTTCTTCCCGACCACCCTGTAGCGAGCACGGAAGAAGGGTGCGCCCTACTTCGCGTCGGCGTTTTCCCTCCCGACCGGCCCAGCGTGTATAACGGGGTGAGGGGGTGCCAAAGGGTGCGAGGGGACGTTAGCGGAGTACGGACGTATGGACGTATGAAAGGACGGAGAGAGACGGAGGAAGGACGACGCGAGATGAAGATACGAGGAGAGGAAAGCCGTGCGAGAGGGTGTCTCTCTGTTTCGCAGCCGGGGGTTTCGCAGTCTCGCATTTCAACGACGACGCCGAACGTCGCTGGTGTCGCCGTCGCCGTTTTTTTCCCTCGAGTAAGGGAACGCGCGCGCGCGTAAATGTGATAGATAGAAACGTAAAGAAAAAAAAAGAGAGGAAGAGAGAGAGAGAGAGAGAGAGAGAGAGAGAGAGAGAGAGAGAGAGAGAGAGACGTATCGACAGATATAGCGAGTAGGTGAAAGAGAGAAAAAGAGAAAGAAAGACAGAGGACAGAGACAAGGGGAGTACACAATAGGAGAGACACTCGTGAACCCTCGTACGTTGGCCCCCGCACAACGAGGAGAACAACGTTACGCTCGGCTAGCACGACGGGGCACCTCGTGAGAATTCGGGTATCAGGGGTGCTTCCGTAGTAGTAGCGGCGGCGGCGGACGGTGATGTGAGTGGTAGCGACGGTGGTGGCCTGGTGGTAGCGCGGTGGTGGTGTCGTCGCTGGTGGTAGTGGTGCGGTTACAGTCGATACGGCGTGGTGGAGGCGTCGAGGTGCTTCTCGTCGGCGACGACGCGAGTGGTGCACGTTGGTGGACATAGATTTACGTAAGAACGACGACAACGATGAGAAGGATGATGACGACGAGAGCTCGTCCGCCTTGCTCGTCTGTCTAGTGGTGACGTCGTATGTGCTGGTCGCGTGTGCGCACGTGTGACGCCGCCAATGGATACTCAACGAAGTGGCTGATCGAAAATCCGAAGGGACGTCCTCGGTGGTTTGGGCTCGTCGAACGGAGCGCGCGCTGCTCGCGCAGAGCGAAGGCGAAGGAACGTAACGAGTACAACGCGATAACACCGTAATGAGATAAGGAGGGTCGAGGAAGAATTTGCGAATGGACGAAGCGGGTCCGTTCAATTTCGTCTCCCCTTGTAATTCGCTACGCATTCGGTGCGCAGTGAGGATTCTGGAGCGGGCGTATAAATTTCGAGGTGTACGAGAGGATCAGCGCAGCCAGTAAAAGGGGAATCGGGAAGGAAGAGAATCGCTAAGGAGGAAGGAAGGAAGGAACGGTAGCAAGTACGAGTTACACGGAAAGGAGGAGGATGGGCGTAAGATCGCTCCCCAGAGGCTTTCCTGTGCGGGAGACGCTTCTCGGCCGTCGTTGAAACGACGTGCGCGAATCCCGAGTGTCGTCGGGAAAGCAAGGTACAGAGGGAGAAAGAGAAAAAGAAGAGTGACGTGAATCGAGTCGTGGGACGACCAAAGTTCGCTACGACGACGACAATAACGATCCATCATGGGGGTTTCGGTGTTTCTATTGTACGCGGTGACGGTGCTCGGTGTGGCAGCCAGCGACAATTGTGCCGACAAGTGCTCGTGCAAGTGGAAGAGCGGGAAGCGCACGGTGGAGTGCGTGAATCGCGACCTGACCAGCATACCGGAGTGGATCGATCCGGAGACCCAGGTGCTGGACATGAGCGGCAACAACATCTGTCACCTGCCAAACAACATATTTATACACGTGCGGCTAACGAATCTGCAGCGTCTCTACTTGCGTGAGTGTCGTATCGATCGGATCGATAGCGAGGCATTGGCCGGCTTGACGAATCTCGTGGAGCTCGATCTCAGCAATAATATGCTGGCCGCGGTGCCGAGCTCGAGCTTCACCGACACGCCATTCCTGCGCGATTTGGTGCTCGCGTACAATCCGCTTAAGCGGATTCGCTCGCACGCGTTTAAGAGCACGCCGAATCTAGTCAAGCTCGATTTGTCGCACACGCAGCTCATCGAGATCGAGGCGAAAGGTTTCCGCGGACTGGAAATGCTCGAGAGTCTCAAGCTGAGCAACAACGAACTGTCCACCCTGCACCCGGGCACCTTCGAGCCGCTCAACAAACTCACTAGCATCGAGCTGCACGAAAATCCGTGGATATGCGATTGCCACCTACGTGAGATGAAGATGTGGCTGGTGAAGCATAATTTACCGACCATCGTGGCGCCCGTGTGTCACGGACCCCAGCAGTTGCTCGATCGTGCCTTCACCGACCTCGGTATCGACGATTTTGCCTGCCGGCCGATTTTGCTGATAGCCAGCCGTTACGCCGAGGCCACCATCGGTGAGAACGCTAGTATCGTGTGTCGCGTGAGCGCGATACCACCGGCAGACGTCAAGTGGTACTGGAACGGCCGGTTGTTGACCAATCACTCGGCTTTCAGCAGCTATCAAAAGATCCTCATCTTCGAGGAGGGCCAATTTAGGAAGCGGAGCACTCTCATTCTCACCAACGCGCAGGAGGCGGACTCCAGCGAGTTCTACTGCGTCGCCGAGAACCCCGCTGGCTCCGTCGAGGCAAATTTCACCCTGCACGTGTCTCTAAGGACGGCGGGTATGTCGACTTTAGGCTCGGGCCAGATCGCGGGGATATCCGCCGCGTTGGTGGTGCTCATACTCTTCATCCTACTCATCATTCTCGTATTATTCATTCGTCTGCGGAGAATGCCGCTGAAGGACGTGAAGTCGTCGGCGCCGATGGAAGCGGCGTCCAGTGACGGTGTCGGCGGCAACGCTGGCGGTGGCGGCGGCGGTGGCGGCGGTGACAATCCGCCATCCGCGACCTCGACCACTCGCAGGAAACACGAGGAGATCGAGACGACGTCGTTCGCCCTGGAGTCCAAGCCACCCGCGTCGCTGCATCTGAGCTACGTGCAGAGACCGCACGCGGCCGTAATGCAGGAGAACGAGTACAGCACAATCAGCCGTTTCGACGATCAGAATCAGCCGGCGGTGGCGGCGATGCCGGGTGCCGGGTGTTTCTCGTCGACGACGTCCCTGATGCCGATTGACAATCCGGATCTCATCAGGGACACTCGGCGCGGCTCCACCGAGGACATCACGCCTTACGGCGTCGCCGATTACGGCCGCGTCGAGACGCTGGACGACGCCGGTAGCAAGATGCTCTACACCAGCTGCCTGTGGGAGGCGAGGGACAGCTGCGGCAGGACGTCCGCCGTCTCGGCGAACGTGTACCCGTCGAAGGAACAGCTCGCGGTGGTCGCGCCGGTCGTCGAGCAATTTCCACCCGGCGCGAAGCAGATGAGAGTCTGGCAAAAGGGCGTCCCGGTGCTGCCGCCGGTCTCGGCGCTGAAACGCGTCCTGGGATCCACGCGCAGCTCGCCCGATGAGGGTTATCAGGAGGGCACCGGTACCGACGTCTAGGTACCGCTACTTCATTACTGCGACGCCCGGCACCGTTATCTGGAGCTACGTAGACGGCACCAGGAGGACGACACCGACTGCTAAGGGAAGAATGAGGGAGAAGAAGGAACAAAAAAAAAAGAAGAAGAAAAGAATAGAGTTGAGTCCTCACGAGTGCCGGGCGGGCGGTAGTGAACAGGAATAAAATGTGCCGGACGAATCTCGCGTTTAAGTGCGATCGCGTCAGTGTGACAATGATCAAAGCTAACGCGCGTCATTATTGTTGTGCACAGACTACTCTTTACAGCTGGACGAAAGCGTTTACGCTCGCAATCGCGTTCACGTACAGTGATGGAAGATACGACATTATACAGTTTCACATTCAACCAGGATACCATCCAAATCAGCAAGAGCGATAGCACCTTGCAATCGGGAAGGTACGGTACAATTGAAGACCATAGACAAGACGTGAACAACTACGCACACAGCTCACCTCTAAAGACTGCCATAACTAAAGTACGCGCATCGAATCGCTAGGCGTATGCAAGGAGCTTTCGAGAGGTCGATGAACGCGTGGATCGTTACTGTGTAAGAGATTGACATCGTGGCCACTGAGAATCGTTTGCGTCGTGCATGAAGTTTCGCTCGTATGACTTACATGGTAACGACTGTGTTAAGTAAATTAACACGAATGATGAGTTCGAGCGAATAGCAAAAATGAACGATTGTGGGCTCTTTCGAATTTAAGAACGCCATCATCGACGCCCCAATCGTAAACACACCCGTTGCAAAGGAGCGTTTGTATTGGGTGCGATCTCTTTGAGGCGGTCGGCGGCAATTAGTGACAGAGTTAGAGATGTCCTTGTGCGCGGTGCGTGTGGTGCAATCAATTGGCAGACGTTCGGTTCCGTTTGTACTTGTGTCACGAGGGTTGCCTCCAGTGTTCGATATCGACAATGTTAACCTGTACAGGATGTTCCGAAAAAAGTGGTCGACGTATGAAAGATGACGACGTTTGTCGTTGCGAGTGACATCGAGTTCGTGCACGTTCTGAAGCTACGTCCCTGAAGCTACTCACGGAAGTATTTGTATTTAATAATACGTAAATATCGCGATTGATAATAAAATTTTCCGATCGAATACGTAGAAGTCATGCGTATCCTTTCAAGTTCACGCGGTGATCTCTCGTGAGTATCCCATCGCAAACTCGAGAATGCAAATTTAGACATGTATTCATTAAGATTCTCTCACACTCGCAACGATTGACGTTATTGTCTTTCAAAATATTGGCCTTTCCTCTGGAAACATTCTGTGTAATGCGGCAATGAAAGTCGATCGCAAGGCGATGTCTCGCGCAGTGCATACAGGAAATGCATACACACGACTGACACGACGTGCACCAAGCCAGGGACGAGGGAAGCGATGACGATACGCTACGCCAACCACGTCATTGTCTGGGCGGTTGTGCAGCACAATATCGACGGGTAATACATTTGTATAATGGCTAAGCCAAAGCGGTTTGAGTCAGTTGGGAGGCTGAAATCTCCCGGATAAAAAATGCATTAGATAGCTCCCCTTAAGACGATAAACGGCGAGCATGGAGACTGGCGGTACACGTTTCCGGCGACGAGGCTGGCGCGTGGAGAATTGCATAGGAAGCGAGAAATGACGCTTAAGCTAACCAAGTATCTCGCGGATTTTTTCTAGTCAATTTGCTGAAAGAGGGAAAGAGAAGAGGAAAGAAAAAAAAAGAAATAACAGAAATGCGAACGGATTCACGGAAATATTTATTCGGCGGGACGGGAAACTCGCGCTGGCAAAATGGCGATCTCAATTAGGAGAATACACGAGGTAGTCTCGTTGAGTCAACATGAGGGTTATTCCCTCGAAGCTTCGGTCGACAAACTCTCACGATTACGAAGCCGGCGAGCCTATATTGTTGCTTCGAGTGGCTGGTCCGAGTGGCTCTCGTGTCCGAGACGAAGCCTCGCGAAAACGATCGAGGGAGGGATATGGCGGCCGGATGCTGCTCTGGATCCATACTTACGACCGCACGTTCACCGATTCGATCGCAATCGCGGTCTCTTCGGCGGATAGTACCAATTTTTCTCAAGTATTCTGTATGAAATTCGCTACGCTTTTATCCGATAGAAATTTATTTCCCGGTTCTCATTTTATTCGGAATACGGCTTGATTGAATTTCTTATATTTTATTTAATGTTCAATTTAGTAGTAATTATCGATATATCGTAAAGCGTGGCGTAACAATTTTGCTGTTTATTTTGATATTTATCAGCGTTAAAGATATGTATCTGATATTAAATTTGTACAACAAATATTATATATAAACGGTGTCGATCAATAATATTATTGATGTCTGATATTAAAGCTTAAGGCTCTTTCAATATTAGTGGAGTGTCATTTGCCAGCACGTGTATTGTGACAATGAATCCAGAGTATATGCAGGCCTTGATCGTTGTCTTTTTGCACATGCAAACCACTAGAATCAATTCCACAAGACTGATAAGTCCCTAAACCGATCGCGAGCGAATGTATACTATTGCTCAATCACTAAAGCTGAATTTCGCGATTGATTGGTTGACTTATGCCCGACGCTGGCATCTTACGTAAGTGAGGCTCTGTCGATCCACGCATTCGAATGAATCGTACTGTCAAATCGGATTATTATGCTTCTACAGGGGTATTTTTGCATCTCATGTCGAATGATTAATTTAGAGAAAAATCATCGGATGTTTAATATTTATCAGTAAACAGACAACCTACAATTATAAAAAACGTTATAAAATCTTCAACGATAGAAAAACAATGTATATCGTAACAATGTATTATCTTCTTTACTTCATAAATTGATTTTTATTGGATATTTTTCTTTTATAGATTTTTATTTTAATAGGTAGTTTTATTTTATAAATAATATTAAGTGAGAAAAAAATTGACTGAAAAATATTCAATGCGAAATATCAAACAAACGAAAAAGGTCATGTTTGGTCAAAAAGTGACGGCTTAATAATACTTTTATATGAATTTTTTACAATCTCAAGCAAATTGTTTTTTATTTTATAGTTTATTATGCATCATGCATGTGTGAATTTAACATGCTATCTTTTTCTGAGGAAAAAAAAGCAATATTTTCTTTAATATATTTGCAACAAAAAAGACTTATACGATTTTGTGGCAACGGACAATTTAATCAAAGTTACGAACCATTTCTCTAGACATCAATTTGTCTCGAAGGCACTTCCTTCTTTACCCCTAAGGGAGGTAAATTAACTCGATCTGACGATAAGTCAAAACGCCAGTCGCGAGTTTCGTTCGATCGCCATTCAAAGTGTGCGCGACGTGCGTTCATTTTGTATGCCGTGTATAAGCGTGTATACCCGTGTGCGTATGTGGACATTTTGTGTGTGTGTGTGTGTGTGTGTGTGTGTGTGTGTGTGTGTGTGTGTGTGTGTGTGTGTGTGTGTGTGTG